CGACTACACGGTATGAAAAATATTGCGGTCACCTCAACTCCCCAGTTGAACCAGTCACGTGACCCGTGCGACTCTTTCACTCTGAGGCTCTTTAGCCGAGGGTGTCCGCCGCGGTGGTGTCCCCATCCTTTGCCGGTGTCCCCTGGGTGTCCCCCCGGACCCATCAGTAGCGAACAAGGCAACCCGACACGCCGACACGCCGCGGGCGCGGGAGGCGCGGGGGCGGCGCATGGCGGGCCGAAGCCCGAACTGCGATACCCACCGCCCTTTCCTGATCCGGCGATTGCTGTAAGCGCGGGTATCATTTCACGACACCGGCTCGGGTTCTGCTTGGCCGGGTCGGGCCGAGGGAAGGGAGAGGGAAAGGTATGGCACACTTATTTGTGGCACTGTGAAACTTAACATCTTATGGACCCCTCTAAACTTTTTAGATACCTCGAACAAATGTCAAGATGTTGGGTTTCAAAAGGGAATGCGAAAATTTTGGCCACTGTTGAACAATATTAAGTTATTTGACTCGATGTTGAAAGCAAAATATGACAATAACAAATCGAACTTTCCCCATATCCAATATTTTCCGATGGCACGCAGGGATGACAGTGTATGTCATGTGCGCGAGACGGTACGCGCAACCTGACGCTGCCGCCGCCGCGGAGATTTACCCGCCATCATTCCCACGCGAACACCAAGTCGTCCCGGCGACCTTTATTTCTCCCCTTTATTACCATTTTGTTTTATATCGCGCGCGTGAGAGTGTCGCGCTATTGATCCAATACGTTTTACGATCAATCACTTGCGTTTTTTATTGCGCTAATTGATATAAATCTGTTGTTTTGTGTGTTGCAGCGCTCGACACGCCCAACGCCCTCGTCAAGAAGCAGGTGTTTGAGCTGCTGTCCGCGCTATGCGTCTACAATGCGGACGGCTACGCGCGCTCGCTCGACGCCCTCGAGCACTACAAGGTGGGAGACGACGAGGTGGCTCGGAGGAGCGAAGGGAAGGACAATCAAGAAGCACGTTGTGCTATGAATTTTGCGACATTTTGAGATTCAGTTTAATTTTCATCTTACGTGTGATATGTATGTGGCCACATATTTAAACCAAGACTTTGCACACGAAAAAGTAACAATAATTTACTAAAACGTGCCAACGTAAATAATGTAGATTACGTTAACATGTTAATCAACGTGCAAACGCGCATCTGAAGGATTCAAATACCCATAGCTAAGCATAATTATACACACATGGTGGGTGTTCTAAGCCGTACTTTTTTCTGGTCGTACTACTGTACCGGATGCAGGCGTGCGGGCGGGTTGCATACTCGCACAGGGCCGTATAGGCGCCGTAGTGAGGGTCGGTAGCCAAGCCCGCACGCCTGCATGCGATGCGTTATAACCTGAAAAATGCATGGCTTTGAACGTAGAACATGCACCCTGTATTGTGGCCAGGTCGCAAAGTTTCTGGAAATGTCACTTTTGCGAACTTTGAGGTTGGGATGTGGTTACAAAGTATGGTTGAAATAAATTAAATCCTGTAGATTGAGGTAAATTTTTAGGCGACGGTAAGGTGACCATTCCTCTGCTGGGCTGCACTGGGACGTCGAACCTCAGCGTTACACATGTACACGCGAAAATGCAGGAACGGGGAGCGAGCAGGGACCGGGAGGAAAGGGGGGAGGAGGGGGTAGGAG